GTCACGGTTGCAGGTTCCCGGGCGGATGCAAATGGTGAAAGATAAAACCACGAGAGGACTGTCTTCTTCCTTCTTGTGGGAAAAATCCCTACAGCTTCAACAAGAAGAGGCTTCTCTCTCCAGAAGTGAACTGAGAAAGACTAAATTGGGGACTGACCAAAGTATTTGTTATATGTTTGTTTTGTTGTTATGAAGACTGGGAGAGGGAGGGAAGGAGTGATCTGAAAAAAAATCTTATTCTGAATTTTTTTTTTTCCTTTCTCTTTGTTTGTGTAGTTAATAAATTTTCTTTTATACTCTCTCAACTTTTAGGCCTGCCTTGCTCTTTTACTCCTGGTTCTGTCTCACAACAGAAAAAATAAGTTTATTTAAATTGGCAACTCAAAACGAAGACATTAATTTGGTGCATTGGCTGGGAAATTGAAATTAAACCAAGACACAAACCTATCCTGCTTCCTGGTCCAGTAACAAGCCAGAAAAATTACTACAACAAAACATAGCAGAAGAACTCCCTCCTTATTAATCTGTTTGGCTGTCCACATAACCATTCATGCTATTTCTACATTGACCACTTATTTATATCTTCAGATATGATGACTGGAGACTAAGAAGACTTGAGGCAGTGTCAGACGATATCAGGAGTGAATTTCAGAGATTGCCTCTTGAAGTACTACAAAAGCCACTTCATAATTTGTTACTGTTGTAAAGCTTTCTATCCACCCTGTAATCCTAAAAGCCTGCCTTGTTAAGCATGTCAAGTTACTGATGCAGGTGCAAAGAGAGAACAGCTGAGAGATTGTGATGTGATCTTTGATTTCAAAATACTGACTCCCGAATGTGACCGTACTTCCTGGATTTATTATGATATCGTGATAAGGTTATACAACACATTAACTAACAGTACGACCTCTTGATACATTTTGCCTCTGAAGACTTTCTGACACATTTTTTTTGTGGACAAGGATGGTATTAGATCAATGAAGGTATGAGGGTTAAAGAGAAATATTTTTGTTTTATTTGAGTACAACTGTCAAACTGAATGATAGACTTTGAGTCTAAAATATGAAAAAAATATTACATCTTTGGGTCTGTTTCAATTTTCTTCTCCAAATTTTTTTTTCTACAGTGTTGCTGTCTGTCTTCCTTTTCTGAAAGATGACAGTGGAACAAAATTTGTTTCACTTCATTGATGTTTCTCAGTAGTTTTCCATTAGGAAGCTCCGTGTCTGTAGAGGCTGACTGATGTAATCAGGATCAATACAGATGCAGTTTGAATTTCCTGTGGTTTTGTGTTTCTGGGACATCAACAAGTCTCATGGCAGACCATTTTGCAGTGCTGTTGCTGTTGCTTCCCAGGATCAGGATTTTTGTGTACTGTCCTCCAAAGACAGGTGAGATGAGGCCATTTCCCCATTGAAACTTTGGAAAAGGATAGGAAAAGTATTTTTGTTTACAAGGGAAGAATTTTTCTCATTCAACAAGGAAACACAAAAAATCTGTGTTCCTACTGATGGTGTTCATGCTGCAATAACATAGGAAAAACTTGCCAAAACCAATTAATTTTTAAAAGAAAACATCAACAGTTTTATAAGAACTTAGGTAAAAATCTTTATCTTTCTCTTTTTCCTAGGCCATTGGTTCTCTATTTCAACATCTCAGCATTTTTTAGCACATGAAGAAATTTTTTGTTTTCGTTTTGATGCTTCTTTGCATCCACCCAAATGCAAACTAAGAATGCAGCCTCTTCACACATCCCCAGTCCACAGAGTTTTCAGTGTCTGAACAGCTTTTCCACATCTCTACACACTCCCCTTCTGAGCTGCCCTCTCACTGTGAGCCACAAATCTGCACAGCATCCCTCACTGCTTATTAAGCTCTGAGAATGTGCTCACTAACATAAAGATCAACTGAAGGCAATGGCTTCTCTGGAGAGCCAAATAAAAATGCATAAAGGAGAAAGAGACAGCATTGTGAAGCTGAAGAAAAATATCAGCTTCCATACTATATATACAGGCAACATGACTTTACTAGCTCCCTGCTTGCTTTCCTTACTATTTTTTATAATTTTTCATAATGTCCAGTGGCAGTCATAGGAATAAGGCACATAGCTGCCTACATGTGTGCATGTAGAGCTCAGGTTCTTATTTAAAATAGTAAAAAACCTGTTTATTTGTCATTTGCACGAAATGGGATTTTTTTGTACTAAGAGAACGAGCGTATTATTTTTTAAAAATTACTTGCTCCCACTCCCAAAATGTGCTTGTTTTCAGAAGCATTTTTGTTTACCACAGTTCCTCAGTAGTGTGATTTTCAATCTGTTTTTCAATTTGATGGTTATTTTTTGTTTTGTTTTGTTTTGTTTTGTTTTGTTTTGTTTTGTAACAAAAATAATAGAAATGAAACAAAACGAAAAGCCAGCAAAAATTCACTTGCTCAGTTCCAGGAAGTGTTCTCAGTTCTTCAGCAATACTACTGTATATTAACAGAGTGTGAATTCTCTCTTAGCCAGCTTTTCTTTCCCAGGTTCTCCCCACACTGTGAAGCCCTTATTTAAGTCTTCAGGCATTCTTTTCTTCATGAGCTCTCTTTCTACATTTGTGAAAAAAAAAAAAAAAAAAAAAAAAAAGTCAATTCTATATACCACAAAAATAATTAAGCACTTCTTATTATGTCTTCCAGGAAAAAGGGTGAAGTAGACAATAAAAGAAAAGAAATTGGAAGCCTCTGGTAATAGAGTAAGGAGCATGCCTACACATCATATAAATAAATATATATATATATATACACACAAGCACATGCTAGAACAGACATTGAGCAGAATAAAATTAGAGAAGTCAATATGAGGATATGCATTCTCAAAGCACAGAAGGACAGTAAATACATAGGGATATTTCTTATTGAGCTTCAGGGTATGCTCAAAGGGTAGTATCAAACTTTCCATGATGAGGAGACAACCAAGCCTGGGTAATGAAATATTCTCTTTCAAGGTTAACAGTGGACTCTCCCAAGGTTTGCATCCCTTCTGAGCTAAGATTTCAAGACAGCATTTCCAAACGCAGCTGGACTTGTTTTCTGTCTGATGTTGAAGAGTACAGGTAGGAACTCATAGTCTCAGTCTTCAGAAACTGCTCATAAAACACTATTTGATGTCCTAGCACCAATCCTGCCACAGGCAATATTACTCTCATCTTCTAAATAGACTGATTGTGGTTGAATAAAGTTGACTGAAGACCAATTGGAAAATCTAATGGGACAACTGTTTCCAGCAGCTTGGGCTCTCTTCATGTGGTCCTCATGTGGTCTTCATGTGATGAGTTTTGATAGCCCCAGAATCATACAAGGCAGTAATGACAGATAGCTACTTCCATTTTTTTTATTTGTATGTGTGTGTGTGAGAATATGTGGGAGCCTGGGGTGGAGTAGGATTCATCTTAAGAGCCTACAAGTTTAGAGAGTTTAATTCACAGGGTTGACTACATGAACAATGATGTCTAATGAATGTTTTATATTCTTATGAAATTCGAGCACTATTCTCGAAGAGGCAAGGGGCCCTTATTAGGGTGAGATCTGGAAAAGTGACACATCACTGCTATTTGCTTCCCACTTCATATGCCAAAACAAATCCAGCCCCAAGCCATTTCCATTTCTTTTACACATTCACTCCTTTATGCTCACCTGGACTGTGAACTGTAATACAATTGTAACAGGAACAGACAAACATCAGCACTTGTGCTTTTCTGATTTTTTGTGAGATAAATGTAGAATTATACTGACTGGGTTTACTTTTCTTTGCAAATTGAAATTAATGGTGACTTTATTTTTTAGTGTCTGACTTGTCATTTCATCGTTTCAACAAGCAGATGCATTTCTAAAATAGTACAAACTGAACATTTCATTGCAAATTATGTATTTATTTTTTGTGGTTCATCTTTTTCTTAGCATGTTGTTAACAGCATGTAGATGGATTTAAATGCATTTTTCATTCACTATTTAAAAATTTTGAAGCCGATTTGGAATAATGAAAAAGAACACTATATGTATTTGATATGTAAAATGTGTGATTGTTTACCTTTGTCATGAGATACTGTTTCTTTTTCATGGTTTTGTAATTGTGACTTTTCCAGCCAAGAGGGGAGAATGATAGAATGGTCATGGGAACATTTTCAATAAAAGACTTCACATTAGCACATTCACTGTAACATAGCAATGAAGAAAATTGTTTGCAGATCTTACCAAAGAACGAATGGTAACTGGGCACTGTAACAAATAATTTTTTTTCTCTAACATTTCTCTATTTTCTTTATTTTCGTCTATGTACATTATTTAAAGCCTGGTGCAAAGCCTTTTCCCATAGATTTGTTCCATAAAGGAGCTTGTTTTTGTATGTGTGTATTCCTTTACATAAAGGAGCCGATGATTGTTTTTGGGTTTTGTTGTTGTGTTGTTTTGTTTTGTTTTGTTTTGTTTTGTTTTGCTTGTTTTCTTGTCTTTTGGGTTTTTTTTGTGACTTGATGTAAAAAATAAATTGTTTGGTGAAATGGCTTACATGTACCTTGAAGGTATCAGCTATACATCTTCCCTGTAGGCAGAAGAATTAAAATATCCGTTAGAATGGGTATAGCTGTAATTGCTCACTTAAAACCTCCCACAACATCTCATATTTTATGCAGTTATTATAAGTTACAACAACTTTCAAATTCAGTTTTGGTCATTAGTTGAATGTAGTGTAAATATCTGTATATATTTTGCAAACACTTGTTAACATTTACAGAAATAACTTCAAATTCATTACAAATCTCATGTATAGATCTGTGCTTGCATGGATAAATAGATAATACTGAGAAGCCTCTTGACAGAAATAAACACCAAGTACAAATGCAGCTGCACAATAAAGCATCAGAATAAAAATTATGGTACACAACAGAACCTGTGAACTCAATATATGCAGAAATACCATTATAGTCCTTATTCTGGATTCTTGAGGTACTGCTTGTGTCAGGGAGGAAAACCAAGAGAACTTTTAGTACCTCCCATTTGTCATGCTTCCCTCTGAGGTGCGTTGCAAAATCACAGTGCATCCTAATTGCACCATAAAAAGGGAATTATTTATAAAAGGAAAAGCTAGACCCTATGGACTGTGAGCCATTCACATCTAAACTATAAAACAAACCAAATTAATCTAACAATTCCAAAGGGAGCTATATATTTTAACCAAAGTAGGGGAAGAAAAGAAGCCCACAACTGTTTGATATAAAATGTGCAGCACCATGTTAGGCAAATGGTTTGCTACTGAATAGCAGTTTCTAATTTATGATGCAATGAGTAAGTGGCAATTAGACATAAAATTCAATATTTATATTTTGCTAGAATCTGAGTATAAATTGGTATCATTATGTGTTTTATTATTTTCTACCAGCTCATTCAGAAACAATATCAAGTTAGATCTTCTATTCTAAAATAATATAGAAGTGGTCCCTAGATTTTTCTGGGATCAAAAGAAATAGGTAGCCCTATATTCAGAGATGTGAGGTCTCTTTTTGCTTTTATTTTTATAAAAAGATATATTCTGCCAAATTCCTACTACAGAGAGATGACTCTTAGCTACCTCAGTTTAGAGTGTAGTTTACTAACTTGTGAGAAGTCATGCCTGACTGACATCAGTCAGGGGGGACAATTAATAGGCCTGTTTAATTTTACTTCTTCTTTGCTTTCAGTAACACCCCAGGAGGAAGCAAGGATCATTTATCCCAGCTAAATTTCCTTGCCATCACTATAAGTGCACAGTTATCATTCACTGCCTGTAACCCTATAACCAGGTAGGAGGCAGGGTGTAACTCTGTCACTCATTTGTAGAGTGGTTGCAGGCAGGAGAATTTTGCCAGAAATTTGCTCAGCTGCTCTCCTGTAAATGGCAGAAAACTCTCTCAGCAGAGGAGAGAGGACCTGTGGCAGAAGGGACTTGGGTAAAAGGCTCGAGAGGGGGAGAAGCAGCTTTTGGTCTGTTGTCTCCCACAGCCTAAGCCTTGCAGAGACTTAAATATAATTTCAGGAAATGGAATTGGACCGACTGTCCAGTATTGGCCATAACTGCTGACTGTTGAGTCTGAGTTTTAAATAGTTTCTTTTTTTTCTATCATAATTTAAATACAAATCTTTGGCAAACTTTTGTCAGGAGACATACTTTAGGTCTTATTTTTTACCAGACATAGCTTTAGCCAAAAATTGCAGAAAACAAGAGTCCTTCACCTGGAATCAGAATAGTTATCTGAAAGCACATGGAATCACAGGCAGCCTAAGACCAGAAGGGAATTCTGGAGGTCCTCTGGCCTAATCCCTGCTCAAGCACATGTTTATCCTAAGATAGGGTCAAATGGCCACCGAAACAAGAATCCTTTTGGCAATACCAGTTCCACAACCAAAGGCTGACATGCATTATCAGGGACCTTCTCCTCTCTCCATGATGGCAGGGGGGAAGAGAACCCTGGGTCCCCATGTCCCTGACTGCCACCCCCAGAGCTCTGTAGTCACTTTGGATACTCTCTAGATTTCCCAGCATTGTCACTGGTGTCTGCATTTAAGAACATCATGGGGCAGTAGTCAGGGGGTCAGGCCAGCTTTGGCAGTCCCCACCAACACCCAGATCCAGGTCCCCAGCACTCAGCAAACTCCTGGAGCCAGCAGGGCAGGTTGGCAGGTGGTGCTGCTGTCCCCTGCAGCAGGGAGAGAGTCACCTGCTGCTGCCACTGCTGCCTTATGCTGGGCTTGCACAGGCCAGGGTCAGCTGGCCCAAACCTCACCTGAAAGCACGGCCAGTTTCCTCAGCCCTGAGGCCAGTGCATGCGTGTCACATCCTCTGTCTTGGCAGGGGCAGCTGCTCCAACACCTCCTGGGCAATATGCCCTGTGGCACGTCACTACCATGCCCAAGAATTTAGGCTTGTTTGAGCTCAGAGAAAGACCCCTTCTTCTGTCCAAACTGCTGATTTGTGTGCTGTGATCTGAGCCTGACCCTTATTAAGGCTGCTCCACAGTACCAGCTAAAAGTGTGCCTGCCCCTCCCTTACTGTGGAGTGCCTGCAACAAAGGCTCCCAGTACCCTGGGCTGAGGGCAGCGGGTCAAGGTTTGAGGCTCCCTTTCCTGTGTGTGCTAGCTCAGACTGATAGCTGTCTCACTGGGTGGGTATTCCTATTTGTTTAGGGCTTTTAAATCTCATTAAAGGTAAAAGTTCTTCAAATTATAGTACTGTTATAGATGCAATCTCTGTGTAACTGATTAGTCTCCTTCCTGAAACCCCCAGAAGACTAATTGCTGCTCACTGCTCTCTGTATGTTCCTCCATGTGTTCACCCCAGATGGCCAATTGATCTAATTTGATGTCTGAGGCAGCCATAGCTTCTCGTGGCCTGGCAGATATTAATGTTTCACAGTAGCACGATTACAGATCCCTCCTTTCTGGATTGCATTTCAACTCCAGGGGAAGGCAGACAGATCCTGCTGCCCAGCCTAGGGCGAAGACTGATGTGTGCAGCCACTGACAGCGGGCGCTTTGTCTGCAGGGAGGGGGAAACCATGCTGCTTCTCATTGATGCTACTCTTCCTCATTGTGAGAAGAAAGGGTTCAGACCTTTTAATAAACATTTGGATTTTAAAACCAGCTACTTGTGATTGAAGTCTTGGTTTTGATTATACACATTTTCATCTGCTTTTAAGTTATAGAGGGTTATTTATGATGAATCCCAGCTGAGGGCTAATGACATTAAACGATTTTGGTTCTTGATTTTTCTAAAGACTACTCAGATTAGGTAAAATATTTAACTAAAACTGCACAGATGTTGATTTTCAAAAAGGAAAGCCAGTTGTCTGTTTGTAGAAACATCAATTAGAACTAATTTTGTGTATAACCCACTGTATAAAAATCTTTGTTTCTTCTGCTGCAAAGTGCATTTCTGCCAGAGATCAAATTTCCCAAATTGCTGCTACAGGTAATGTTCATATCTTTTATCTTTAATCACTGCTTCAAGTGGCAACTGCATTGGACAGAACCCAAATGTCCTTTGAAACAGATTAAAGTTTAATTGTAGAGGGAAGAATAGAATTAATAAATGCCCAGCTGTGTTTCTTGTTCTCTTTTCTGGCTTGTGAGTTAGATGAAGATAAAAAGAGGCAATCACTCTTTAAGCATATAATTAATTTAAATATTGGAATAACTTAGCATTCATGAATGCATCTCTGTTTTATCTCCTCATTTTACATCTTTGTTTATCTTATTAAAAAATATGCACAGTCTGTTGATTTCATCTATGTCCAGCATGTCACTGAAAAGGAAAGAAAATAATGTTAGTTTTGCCATTAGAAAAACAAATATGCTGAAATTTGTATGCTGGCTTTTGCTTTCGTGGACAATGGCATTTTGATTTTTAAGGAAAATATCAGTGGCTAATGATATCTGGCCTGTTTGATTTACACTGGTGATGATGACTTCATTAGTCAGAACAAATGATAAATCTTCCCTTGCTGCAGCACATTGTTGTGCTTTCTCAACCAGCCATTTTAATTTTCAGGTTGACAACCAGTCAGAAAGAATCCATTATGGATGATCAAAGCTCATTTGAGATAGTCTTTTGCTCCAGAATGATGAGCTGAACTGGTCAGAAGTAAGAGGAAAGATATTTGTGCTGTAATCTGCTGGTTTGGGTGCTGCCTGGTTGTCACTCTGCATGCTGACCCACACCTGGCTTTCCCCTCTGCTGCTGACCTTGACCTCTTTATCCACTTTGTCAAGGTGGGATAGGGATTCAGGGAGAGCCTGGACACCGTAGATGGGTGAGAGGAGGGTTCACCAGGTCTCCTCAGCATGGTTTGGGAATTTCTGTGACTTTCCCATTTAGCATCTCAATTGTGCCAAGTCAGGATACATGATGCACTTTTATTCTTGGGCATAGGCACAGCCTCTGTGATTTTGTTTGGGTTGGTCTGGTGGGATACACTGGAAAAAAAACCTTTGACTGCCTGTATGGCAGTGTGCCCTAGATATGAAACTATTAGAGATTAATCAGTATCAATAATTATCAAGGAATTCCTCTGTGATTTAAGGTTTGCTAGTTTTGCAGCGAGGCATTTCAGATCCAGGCTCTAAATGTGGCAAGATACTTTGCAAATTCACTTTGTTTCTGAATTTTATTACAAGGATCCCAGCAACTCTACCAAGACAAGAGGTAGAATAGGTGCTGCAGTGAGAAGGTAGAGATGCTACACCTACTCCGGAAAATAAAGATGATAATGCATAGGTCTGGCCTGGGGTTTTAACTAGCCTGGGTCTCCCCAAACAATCTGCATGTGGGTTGCCAACCTATCTCATCTTGGAGTAATGTGAGAAATTCTGTTACCTTCACTTGAGACTTTTAAAGGACACAAAACATAAAAACTCCACATCAAGGTGAATCTCATATATGTGCATAAACATACATATGTGTGTGCATGTATATATTATACATTATTATATGTAATATTTATATATTATTATTTATATTATTAATATGTAATATATAATTATATATTTTACAATATACATTATATAGTATATATTATACATATACATATACATATACATATACATATACATATACATATACATATACATATACATATACATATACATATACATATACATACATATGTATGCCTTTCCCTTAGAAGAAAGACGTCCTCTTGGTGGCCTGTTGGTTAGGTCACACAGTTCAAATTAAAAGACAAGTTCAAGTCCTTGCCCTGAACCAGACAGATTGTCCACAGGGTAATCATTTTACATTCCTGCAATTTCACAGTTTTCCTCCCAGTGTAAGAACCAGACCAGGTCATTCAGGAAGAGGTGGAGGCTTCTGTGCACAGCGTGCATGCAGAGTTAACACTGCTCTCCTCTCAATACTGCAATATTGCCCTTGTTAGTTCTGCCTCTCTACATGGAAAGAAACAACACTGTTTTCTTTTAAACTCTACACTTACAGCTATATTTTAAACCTTACAGTACATCACAATATCCTTATAAAAGGATATAAAGATATTGCTTTTTTCATAAACAAAATTTAATTTATTTTTGTTTGTAAGACAACGCTGCATATCCTTTTCTAACAAGAACAGTGTGATTCCTGGGCAAAAGGTAATTTGAAATATTTTCCTAGCAGGCTGGTTATGATTTTTCTTGTTTGTGCTATTTTGTAGTCCAAACTTATAACAGTATTTTTCTCTGTGCACAGTTATTTGCAAAATTATTTTTGTAGGTTATGCACTTCAACTGATTCTGGTAAGAAGAATCATAGACAATTGTATTTATTTCCTCATAATTCCCCCAATCTCAAAATGAGGTGTTCCCCACTCCCACTCTCCATATAAAAAAAATACAAATAAACAAAATGAAAAGATGGATTCTCACTTTACAATACCAGTTTTATATTTTCTTAAAGTGTAATTTTTAGTGATGCCAATGGGAATAAAAGAATGCCATTCAGGTTGGAGTTTTAAGATTTTGTTTTCACTAAGAGAATCAATAATCTGTATTTACTTCTATCCATCTGCTCTTGGTTTAGGCATTCTGTTTTTTCTGTTTCTCACATTCTGAATGGGCTTTTAGTATGAGTTTGTTAAGTGCAGGCAGAAATAAAAGGTTGAATTGTAAGTAAACTATCCTACAACTTAATCTGTTATTCCAAAAAAAATTCTTCCTCTCTTACACTGCCAAATCTGTAAGCCTTATTGCAGAATAGCCTGTGTACAGAAAGGTTTGTAAATTCAGCAATGTGGTAAAACACCACCTTCGACACTAGCAAACCCCACAGCAAAGTTTTGTTTGTGTAGTGGTAATGGCTTAATGAGCAATTTCATTGAGCTGCTCTGGTGGTTTCAGCCAAGTCCCGGAGTTTGCAATCTCTGTGAGTTAAATGTTTCCACAATAAAGATCCTTGATAGTGTCTGTGCATTAACAGCACACACTCCATCCCTGTGTTAGGTCTATGCAATAGAAGGTGGTATGGCTGCTGAAGGCTGGGCAAAAAGCTTGTCTTTTTCTCTGGAAAGTTTGGCAAAGCTAAAGGATAAAATAATGTTTGACAAAAATCTGCCTTTTCTGAGAGACAGACCTTATTTTTGTAATGCTTTTGGCCTTTCATTAAATGAGAGCCCTTTTGTGGACTACACACTGTCCTTGTGATGGACAGCTGGACAAGTGCTTTTACATGGCCAGGTGGCACCACAAGAGGTATGCACTCTCAGTCTTCTCCTATAAGAAACAGTAGGGCCATACCATAAAGGAATAAAGGAATTTGTACAGCAGTTCTGTGCAAGAATCACAAACATTTTGGGGTGCTGGAACTATTAGTCAACGTATTGAAGACATCAGTAATGAATAAAATATGCAGGTGAACCGTGGACAGTGGGAATGCTCAGCCAAGACTTGTGGCAAGGCTGAACTGTGATCTCCAAGGAGTGGTGGCATGCTTACATACATTTAGAGTTATCCTTCTCCCAGAGTCTTGATATAAAACAGAAAAGAATTTCAGTGGGGGAATCCAGCTTGTTTATTTCAAAATTGTGGAACTTTGGGCTGTTATATGAAAACTGAAAAGCTCAGACATCTAAAATGCTGCAGAACAAAATTTGTAGAGCCTTTCAACTGTAAGTAGTAAGTGGAACTTCATTTACTTATTTAAGGTCAAAGGTGATCAGAACAAAAGAACAAATTGTATACACAGGACAAAAATGAACTAACATGCCTGTTTTTATGAAAAGAGATTAATTCCTTGAATTTCCACAAACAAAAGAGCAGATTCAGTCAGCCTATAAAAATTTGTAGGGGGTTGGTGGTGGTGCTTCAAAAGCAAAAAAACACCAACCTGT